ATATCGGACCACAAGCTAATCGTGTGCAGCGCATCAATTTGTGCCAAAAAATGTCACTGCCACTCGCAAAAAATCGTTCCAGATTTTCAGAATGCAGATGACACCAGCATAATTGATCATCTATCAATGGAATTAGCACCGTTTGAAGATGATTCGAAACGCGCATCCATAAGTGTCGATGAATTGTGGTTAAAATTTAAACATACCATAACGCACTGTATGAAATTATATGTACCAAACAAAACAAAAAGATCAAAGAAATATACTCCCTGGATTAATCGTGATATCATTCACGTGAAACGCAAAGTTAAAAGACTCAGGAAATCCCTAAAACTAAGTAAAAGCAATTCTAAGACTGCTCTCACAACTGCCATCACCGACATGAAATTAAAAATAAGAACCGCAAAAAAGAACTATTTCACTAACACCCTTCCTAGTTTCATCAAAACTCGCCGCAAAAATTTGGGGCTTTCTTAAAATTCAAAGTCTAGCGAAAACGCTAGTCATCCTCAAGATGGCCTTATTACCCCTTCTTCTCTCAATGAGCACTTCCAATCAGTTTTCACGGCCGATGACGGCAATCAACCACCAATCGACATTTTGAACAAAGAACCATTGGAACTGCCCGTGATAACCGAACAAGGTATCTTTCATCTGCTCCTCCAACTTGACACAAAAAAAGCCTCAGGACCAGATAACATTCCAAATTTGTTTCTCAACCGATATGCGGTGTGGATGGCAAAATATCTGTGCATCATATTTGATAAATCCCTAGCAACATGCACCATACCGGATGATTGGAAAAAAGCGAAAGTTAAACCGATACACAAATCAGGCCCAAAAGATGACGTAAATAACTTCAGGCCAATATCTCTTACTTGCACTTGCAGCAAACTTCTTGAACAAGTTATCTTAAAACATATCAATATATATCTTGAAAACGAACGCATCCTGTCGCCTTCTCAACACGGTTTCCGTATGGGGCTTTCTACAGTCACGCAACTAACAGAACTAACCCATGATTTATCCTTAAGTGTGGACAACCAAAAACAGGTCGACCTTATCCTATTGGACTTTGCAAAAGCCTTTGATAAGGTTTCGCATAAAAAACTAGTACAAAAGTTAGAATGTACCTTAGGCAATGGCTCCGTTACGAAATGGATAAAAAACTATCTTACCGGTCGCACACAATTTGTTGATTTCAATGAACAAGTATCCACAACAGTTCCCGTCAAATCCAGTGTTCCCCAGGGTTGTGTTCTTGCTCCGACCTTATTCCTAATTTTTATCAATGACCAACCCTGTCAAATTCCCGTCCACGTCAAACTTTTCGCGGATGATTGTATAATTTATCATGAAATAAACTCTGCAGAAGATCATCTTGCCTTAAACAAAGCCCTCAAAATAGTATCAAACTGGTGTTCAGATTGGCAAATGATACTTAATGTTAAAAAATCAGCTATAATGACAGTAACAAGAAAAAGAGAATGGTCAGAGTTCTCATATACCATCAATAGTATCCCACTTCCTAGAACAAGTCATCATAAGTACCTTGGCCTCACCTTTACTAGCGATCTGAGATGGGATGCCCACGTTTCTAACGTTACAGCTACCGCACTGAAACGACTTCTTTTTCTGAGACGATGCCTTCGACTAGCACCTTCTGAAATTAAACTGTTAGCCTACAACACGTACGTGAGATCTGTTCTTGAATATGCGAACATTGTTTGGTTCCCGTACACAAAAAAAACATATTGCGAAGCTAGAAGGCGTGCAAAGAAAAGCTGTTCGATTTATCTTTAACAAGTTTAGGCAAACAGACTCACCAACTGAAATGCTCGAAGAAGCGGGCATGCTAACGCTGCCAAAACGAGCAAGACTAGCACGCCTACGATTCATGTACCAGCTACGCCATAAGCAAACCAACATCGATGCCTCCAGGTACATTACACTTCAACAATCACGACCCACCCGTAAGAAGCACCCCGAAATGCTACAAGAATACGCATTACGTACGGAATGTTTCAAACACTCATTCTTCTCAGCATCAATAAGGGAATGGAACAGCTTAGCAGCTATGATTACTAGCAGCAATTCTTTAAATATTTTTTCACGTCTTGTTGAAGAACATTTGCGTTTGGAACCCTAATATTGCGCTATTGTGGTCATCTTTGCAAAATCCATTGTTTTAGACTGTGTTATTTTGACTCTTCCACACTGTAATCATTTGGATATAGTACAATTACTGTTAGAACTTTGTTGTTAGAATTTGGTTAGAATTTGTTTGAATTTGATTGTTAGAATTGTGAGAACTTGGTAGCATCAATGTAACGCGTATCCTAAACGATGTATAACTTACGGATGTTTTTATTGTGTGCTTTTATTGTGTGTTTTCCCGATGTCTTTTCTGCGAAAATCCCGACAAGGGATTGGCAGTATTTTTAAAAAAATATATAATATATATATATATATATATATATATATATATATATATATATACATATATATATATGGCGGTGATGGCGTAGTGGTTAGAGCATCCGCCTCGCATGCAAAAGGTCTGTGGTTCAAATCCCGGTGCCGGGCAGTTCCCAACCAGATTTAAAAAAAAATTCCGCGTGGTGATAGAACTGCATTAAGAGGCCTGAGGTGCGGCCTCACCGGCAACCACCGCCGGTAACACACTTCCTCACCAGAGAAGAATTGGCCACTCTGGTGCAGCATCTGGCCTCTACCTCCCACATGCATACGTCAATTGGAAGAATGCTAACATCATGGTAATACATAAGCAAGGAGATGAAAAAGACTTCAAGAATTACAGGCTGATCAGCTTGCTCTTTGTAGTATACAAGCTATTTACAATGGTATACATATAATTGCTAACATAGTAAAGAAAACATTACAATTCAATCAACCAAAGGAACAAGCAGGATTTCTAACAGGCTACTCAATAATTGACCACAATCATACTATCAATCAGGTAATAGAGAAATGCTCAGAATACAAGCAACTACCATACATAGCCTTCATACATTACAAGTAGGCGTCTGACTCCGTAAAAATGTCTGGCCTCATGCAGACACTGCGGAATCAGGGCGTCGATGAAGTATATATAAACACCCTGGAAGAAATCTACAGGGGATCAACTGCTACCATAATGCTTCATAAAAAAGCAACAAAATACCTATCAAGAAGGGTGTAAGGCAGGAGACACATTCTCCCCAATGCTATTTACCACGTGCTTCCAGGAGGTTTTCAGAAGCCTAGAATGGTAACAGTTAGGGATATGAAATAATGGAGAGTACCTTAGTAACCTGCGCTTCGCCGATGAATTGCATTGCTGAGTAACTAAGGAGACAAATTGTAACTCATGATTACGGACTTAGACAAGGAGAGCAGAAAGGTGGGTCTTAAAATTAATCTGCAGAAAACGAAAGTAATGTACAACAACCTCGGAAGAGAGCAGCGCTTCGAGATAGATAATAGTGCACTTCAAGTTGTAAAAGACTATGTCTACTTAGGGCAGGTAATAACCGCGGCGCTGAACCACGAGATTGAAGTAACTAGAAGAATAAGAATGGGGTGGAGCACATTTGGCAAGCACTCTCAAATTATGACAGGTATATTGCCACTATCCCTCAAGAGAAAGGTATATAACAGCTATATCTTGCCAGTACTTAGCTACGGAGCAGAAGTCTGGAGACTTAAAAAGAGGGTTCAGCTTAAATGGAGGATGACGTAGCGAGAAATAGAAAGAAAAATGGTAAGTGTAACCTTAAGGGACAAGAAGAGGGCAGAGAGGATTAGAGAAAAAACGGGGGTTAGGAATATCATAGTTGAAATCAAGAAGAGGAAATGAACATGGGCCGGGCATGTAGCGCGTAGACAGGATAGCCGCTGGTCATTAAGGGTAACTAACTGGATTCCGAGAGAAGGCAAGCGGGTTTGGGGGAGACAGAAAGTTAGGTGGGCAGATGAGATTAACAAGTTTTCGGGTATGAATTGACAGCATTAAGCACAAGAAGGGGTTAACTGGCGGCACTTGGGAGAGGCCTTTGTCCTGCAGTAGACGTAGTCAGGCTGATGTTATATATATATATATATATATATATATATATATATATATATATATATATATATATATATATATATATATATATATATATATATATATAATGGTGAACATCACGCCAGGGAACAGGCTATGAGTGCACCAAGCGTATATTCCAAGTCGTACATTACTAAATTTGCTGTATCTGAAGCTAGACAATCAACAGCTACTGAAAAGAGCAAGCTGGCGAGCTCTTTCCGAGCAAAGTAAAGTGATTTTTGTCACGAGACATGTGATATAATTGATGAGTGCGGCTTTCTCTAAATCCAATTTTGTATTCTTCATTGGCTCTGTTCTTTGTCTTTTTCAAGAAAAAGTGCCAACAGATGGCCGTGCAGGAAAATCAAGTCATTAGTAAGTTCAGCGCAGTGTGTACCTTTGCTTTGTTCATCCTCATTTCATAATGATTTGTGGGGTTTAACGTCCCTAAAACCACTATTTGATTATGAGAGGCGCCGTCCTCATTTCATGCACTATGAAATATTGAACTATGTGGCCCCAACAAGTCCGACGCTAGAGCTTTGTGACCTCCTCTGCAAATTTCATTGTATGTTTCCTGACGCTGGGCTGTCAGTGGTTTGTCATGAGATGTACGTTAGTACGAGTGCGCCATTGGCACAAGGGCAATATCCTTCGCCCATGAAGGAGCGCGTCGGCAACTAGGGGGCTGATAAGCGAAAATAGTCCGCCATGCAATGCCTGCATGGCCCTTGGGCAACCGCTGTTCTGCTTCTCCAGAAAATAGATTGAACTTTTTATATGTGGATCGCCATCGTCCTTACAGAAAAGCTCGTTAAAAATTTTAGCCTGCCTTTTTGTGCAGAAGGAGCTTTAATACCTGAAATAAGCTCGGCTTTACAAATCAAGCAAATATAAAAGCCTAGCTCACCTGATCAGAGTAGGAACACACGACACGCTGGGTGTTCTTGAGGTGAAAGGAGCGGCGATTGAGGCCTCAGCTTCCGACAAAGAAATGCCCACATCTGCCGCCTTCAGAGCCTGGACAGAGTTGTTGCAGTCGACTTAAACTATTTATCTCAGAAATCGACGGCCGAGATCTGAGAGAAAACAAAACCTAGCCCGCTGGGGGCGTAGAAATGCGGCATCTGTGTTATGTTAGACAGCAAGTTCGCGTAACCAAGTTTAACGAATAAAAGTTGGTGGGTAGGCTTGACGGTTGATGAACCAAGCAAGTAATCTCAACTTCTCAATTATACCACCTATTACGTGCAACCGATGCATAGCGATTGCCTGTTCATAAAGCTCTACCCAACAAAACCCGAATGTCGACAATTTTTTGTAATCAATCTAAAGCTAGGTGGCTGCGACAATCGTGCTAGTTCTCGCAAGCTAGAAAACAAGTTCTTCGCATTTGTTCCGAGTAGAAACGGATAAACAACGAACGAACAATAAGCGGTAGAAATGAGATGGTTTACCCTTTCTGCTAACCAGATTTTGATGCGACGCGCTTTTTTTTTTCAACTTTCGTCGCGTGAAATTTTGGTCTCGCGTAACACAGCTGCCACATTGAAGACCCGTTCACACTTGGCCTCGAAGAAGGAAAAAGCAACAAAAATAACCAGAAATCTGATCACCGAACAGTCATGCCATGAACGCGACGCAAAAAAAAAAAAAAAAACGGGCCGGGACTCATTTTATTGACTTGCGAAAGCGCAACGGCTTCCGCTTCACGGAAAGCAGTCGCAATCGCAAAATACCCGTACTGCATAACAAAACTGACAGCGTCTAAAATGACACTTTTTCAAGAGCTTTACTTTCATTAAAATCGCCGGAAAGACTGAATACTAAACAAAAATAACATGAATTAACCTAGCAAAGTGAATAGACTGGTTGTTCTCTGACGCATTCTCTTTTATGTTTTTTAAAGACGATAGTCTTTCTTGGGGCACCTTCGATCGCAAAAACTTTGGTCTGTCTGTATGTACATTTGTCTCTTTGTCCACCGTTATCGCGAATCGGGTATTTGAAACAGCACAAGCTGATACTCCGACCGGCCGACCCCATCCGCAGCGCCCACCAATATTGCTCAAGGATCATCGTTCATACGTGTGCGATTGTCAATTGAAAAGCAACTATTGCGCATATCTGAGGCACCATAACCACGTATATATATTCTGCATTCGTCTTTTACTAGAAAAAGCATAGATAAGCAATTCTAAGGACCGTAGAGCTCATCACGCTGCGCTGACCATGCAACACTTTCACGGAACGGGGAGGGTTTTTAACGTTTTGCTAAGACGAGACGGTGGTGGCACCTACTCGTCACCTTGCGTTCTACACCTTATCAGCCTCTGAGATGGGCGCGCACACCTGTGTCAGGGCCACACGCTTTGTTTTCCAAAAAACTGCCAGATGGGGCTCATATCTCACGTGTGACGTGACTTGATGCTCTCGTTCGCCTCCGCTTCACGCTCGAGGCACTCTAAATCAGCGCCTTCGGAATACCATTCAACTATTTTCTTGCGCAGAACATCAGATAAATGTTTTGTTCCCTCTCTCCACACGCAAGACTATCGTCTTTCGACGACATTTGCAGATTACGTGCAGATACGGGGCCAAATTTTTTCACTACCTACAAGTCGAGGTAAACATTCACTCTGGTTCTGACCAAGTTCTTGAACGTATCAAGGGTAGAAGTTATTTACCTCAATGAGGTTTTCGAACGAGTATAGAAAGAGTAATTTTTGCTGCCTTTACTAGGTTTTGGGGGTAATTTCTGAGAGTTATTTTACGTGGTAAAAAAGTTGTGCGATCACGCACCGAGTTCATAAATTAATTAAACATCCAACGACACAGAATTGATGACACATGCAGAAATTGACATGGACCAAAACATACACTAATGCAGTCTATGACAAATAAAAGATCACCTGAACGAACTGTTTTCGTTATCCAACCGCGTCTCGACAATCCGTTATGCATAAACGTAATATCTTGATCTGCGATGCAGCACTGATAGGCTGGTTATGTTTCCTTTTGCGTTGGTGAACAGTAAAGCTTTATACTACAGGTAAAATTAAAGTGTGCTGCAAGTCACCATGAGATCACACTGACCTTTTAGTATAAACCCGCTTGATTTCACCTTTTTGATTGTCGAAATAGTAGCTGGCACTTTGGCTGCTTGTCCCCACCCGCGTGAGAACTGCTGATGTATAGGTCCACAAGAGATACTTATGGAGGCACAAACCACGCCAGCTAAATCATTTTCATTGAGCGGTGGTGCAGAAACACAGTAGCATTACGCATTCAGGAACGCGGGCGAATAAAGAGCTGCCACGCCTGCACCAGGCTGAGGCTTCTTGCCATAAGTGTCACTGACTCTAGACAAAAAATACCCAGCCGAGAAGTATTTGGGCATGATACGGCTGCTCTGCTCCGGTAGTCTCACTCAAACTGGAATGTACCGGAGTGGATGCATTCATATTTTACCGTTTTCCTCCGGCGAGCGACGGACGAAGGAAGCCGGGGGTAAACGGGACTGATTTCCTGATTATGCTCCGTGGTTGCTCCGCCAGTGCTCCGGTACATCGCCCGGTGGTATTCACTGGCTGTTGGAGGAGTGGCGTAGGCAGCGTCGCCGTGCGGCCGTTTCCCATAAACTAACACGGCGCAGATCAAGCCGGCGCAGTGAAATTTGTAAGAAGCGTTCAGCCACGTGCAGGAAAATAAAATAAGTTTGTGCACTTTCCGAATAAAACAAGCGACTACAAGCAGCAACGAAGGTTGTCATCGACAGAAGAGAATTGCAGAAACCCTAATTATGTAATAGTTCCTTGCAGCAAACGACAAATTGTGATCTTGCGGGTGTTGAGCGACATAGTAGTCAGTCGCTCGTGCAGCACAAAACCAGTGAATGAGCTCTTTTTTCAAATTATTGTGTTATGCTTGTCTGGTAATGCTAAGATTCTTTATAGTTGGTGAGATGACCAATCAGGTTATCAATATTACGCTAATTTTAAAGCTTCTCTGTCAAAAAGTTGAGGGAAAATTTCGTTGCGTTGTTTGGAACACGCGCTTCTTTTTTTAACAAACCCTACGTAATTTTAATCACATCATTGTGTTATGAGGAGCTCTCATTAGATATGACAATGTAGAAGGTTTCAGGGTTGTGCTAGATTCCACAAAAATGTAATAATTGTTTAAAGTTAACAAAACTTGTTAACGATTAATTAGTTCTTGTCAGTATCCAAAATGGTTATAAATGTGCGCTTGTCATATATTAAATGCCATGTCAACGTCTACCATTGTGTATAAAATATTTTGATCTATAATGTAAGCTGAACTAAGAAAACGTGAATGACTGAAAACAGCGTTAATTCTTCATAAATGCAGGTGCATTGAGCTAGGGCAATTCGTTTGGTACAGCCTTTTAGAACGCATGCACGCAGTCATTTTCAGACAAAAAATTATTGTTATTGTATAAGTGGTATCTTAGGTAATAATGTAGAAGCGTTCGGAGATATGGTGCTTTCAGGACAAGAAACAGAGGGGGAAAAGTAGCTGACGAGAACAATGACGAGGAAAGCGGAAAGGGAAGGGTTGCTAGGCAGAATGGGTTAGGGGGCGCTTGGCGCTTATCAAAAAGGTAATTAGTGAACAAGTTTCAGAAGAAGCGAAAACACTCATTACTGCGATCCAATTGACAGCCTGACTCAACACCGTAGGACGGAAGCGACAGGGTAGTGAAAAACTAAAAAACAACAAAAGCGATTTTTTCCGTTGGTGACGGAAGACAGTACTAGCGCGATGCTGAATTTTTTTCTTCTTTCCGTCCTAATGTCTTAGCCGTGAAAGCAGTTTTTTGTGTTAGAGGGGGGGGGGGGGGTCGAGACGGGAGATAAGTTTTCCCGATCAATTATGTGAAACTGTCAAAACGTTTGCCTTCATATCTCCTTTCTCTCTGAAAAAGGCGCTTCTATATTAGCCTAACAAACACTGCTCACGCACGAGACATACATTTGACCTGGACAATGCAACAACGCTCGCCTGTCAACAGGAAAGGAAAAAAATATAATTTTTGGAGTGATGGTGCACACGTCGTGACGCCTTCACGTGCCTTACCTTCCATGACCTTCGGACGTTCGCATCACTTTTACGTTAAATGAACGGGTTGACCTGCACTCATTTCTGTCAATATATGACGAAAATGAAGTTGGCATAGGTGGCGCGATGTATGTACCTTTATTGATAATCAATTTTGCTTCGTAGTATAGAAAAATATTTTGTTCTGGAGGTTGTTCGTTTTCAATTTATACATGCTCATTCAATAACTACTTTGAAAAATGTCCACTACAAAATGCATCAAAATTGAGTGGGTCGTGCAAATTAAGAAAGAAAAAAAACGCCAAATGTTCTGGAAGTCTATTGTGCAAAGAAGAATGAAGGTACAGCCCACAATCATACAAACTGTATGAGCCTAATTTGATAGAAGTAAGATGGTGAGCACATAATAAATTGCTACTGTAACTTTTACCAATATTATTTGATAAAATTTAGAAGTTATCGGGAAAGGCATTACTGATGCTCCAGAGTACTCAAATTTGCGCATTTGAATGAAAAAAAAATGGTATGAAATATTGCAGCAAAATTAGAGCTATCAATTTAGAAATATATGGGAAACTTTCGCACGTTTTAAACTTTGTTCCCGTCACGAAGCTGCAATTCTGTCATGTAGCGGCTGTCTGGAACTGGAGTAATTGGGATCTCTTTTTTGATAATAAACAATTGTCCTGCTTTTTCGTGGTTGGTTTAAGAACACGATTGATCCTATGGACTCGAAGGCTGTATTGGATTAATTCAGTTACTGTGGTTTCAGTCTTTATTTGGTGCTTCTCGCATGATTTCTAGAACTTATGTACATCTATTCTCTCGCTAAATCATCCAGGAAGCAATCAGCTGAACCCTTGCTTTGTCAATAAATCAGATGAACAGTCCTTCGGGGATAACCCACAATTTTTCCCGGTGGCCACGCTTTCGTC